ATATCTAATTTGGCTCAGTGCTGGCCAAGGTCAGGGAACTGAAATGAGCTAGGGAACTTGTTGGAAATTCCAGGATGGGACACAAATCCAGCTGCTTTCCCAGAACAGTTCAGCACCAGCAAAGAAGGAAGTACTACAGGTCAGGGCTGAGTTATATCTTACTATGGATTTTAAGAACATTTCCCACATCCCATATGGTATGGATTTGAGCCAAGCCATGATCCATATGAGAGCAAGAACTCACACCACACACATACTCATGGCTACTGTAAAGTAAATACTCAAGCCAGAAATTATCATCCAACTTGTCTGCTGATCTAGGCAGTCCAGGTACCAAGATCATACTTGCCCTGAAGTCTAAATCTAGCCATTAAGAGCTGAGGAGATGGGTAAGACCAGAGGACCAGAAGATGCAGCATATCAGAAATGAAGGACATATACAAAGCTTACCCTGGAATCCTTCCCAAGAAAATCCAGGGGTGTTGGACCAATGACTTCTAGAAGTTGCTTTTAACGTAAATTATTTTATGATTCTTTGACAAAAATGTTGTTGTTATGTACAGTGCCAGCCTCTCGTGGAAAGCTGGGGCAGGACTTGATCACGTATGAGAAGATCTCTTGGCCTGACACCTAAGTTCATAGGCTTTTGTAAGTGTAATCCTAGGGGGACTTGGAATAAGGAGTGCGCACCCTTCCCAGGAGCGTGTGACTTCCCAGTTGCAGTATTAACCATTTGTGAATTTACTGTGCAAACACAGCTACTAGATGACTTGGAACTGCAGCTGTTGATCTGAAGTCTACTGCAATTTTTGAAAGACTCTTACCAAGTTAAAAAAGGAATAGTGAACAAGAAGGCATTTTAGTATTCAGTCTATGCTTTTTCTCTCTTCTTTTTGTCACAGTGCCTAAAAAGCGTAACCACGGCCTTTGCAAGGGACACAAATAAACACCCAGCAAGTGCTGATCTCCTCCTTAGTGCCAACTCTTTCATTTTAAACAGAGAAGACTAGCAGGCCTATTTCAGAAGATTTCCTTCTTCTGAAATCCCTGGGAACTTGATTTCAATGTGCTTGAAAGTACATCTGAAATAATTGTTCATTATTCCCCCGGTTTCTGCCAGTGAGGTTCCACCAACAGGAGGTCCTTTCTCAAGTCAAGGAGAGCTTGGGATGAGGATGTTACACCTGGGAAATTAATAGTAAAAGCAGTAACAGATACAGTAATTTTGTCATTCTGCCTGTGTTATGCTCCATTATGTTAAGGATATGCAAATTAATAAGAATAAAACTGCCACTTCACACACAAATGTCAATATGGTGATTGTTTACTTCACCCTTAGCAACACTCCACCCAGCTTTATTGCAAAAGAGGAAACAGCTGAAGGAATATAACTGAACAGATACCACCTGGCCAATATCACCAATTCACCCCACCTATTACAAGGGAAAACAAACCACCTAAAAGAGAAAAAAAAAAAAAGGTATAGAAGCAAGAGAAAAACAGCACAATAAAAAGCTGCTTGCACTTCTCAGTGGTAGACTCTTCCCTGTGGCAGACTCTTCCCTGTTCACAGCCTGAGTAAGACCCTAAAATCGTAAGTCTTATGCCTACGACAGGCTTGTCTGTCTCCAGTGATTACACAAAAAGGCTTAAATGAAACTTAGGCCATCTGAAATAACCTCTTGCTTCCAAAACTAAATCTTACTATCTTGCCTGAAATTTCCCATCCTTTCCTACACAATTGAAAGCCAAGCCAAAAAGGCCATTTTGAGCCATGAGTCAAAGTCCTTTCCGTGCATGACAGTAACAAATATCTCATGTTCTGCCAGGCTGAAATGTCATTTCCATCCCTGGAAAAAAAAAACAAACCACAAACAAACACAAAAAAAACAAACAACCAGAAAAGAAAACTGCATTCCCGTCATGGTTTTCCTGGAAGAAGTTTTACCCTATGACAATTGGTAGGTATTTTCCAGAGCTCTCTGCTGGAGTCACATGACTACCCACCAAAAAATACTGGATGATCTAAAGAGCTACAACTTCAGACAGTCTCCTTGCCCTTTCAGGACAGAAAGCGTCAGAGAATGTTGCAATGTAAATAGGATTAGACCTAAGGGCTCCTAACTCTCAGATATGTGCTTTAAACTCAGTATCATCTGTCTTCAACCTTATCCTTCAGAAAATTTCCTTGATTTTTCTGGCCTCTCTTTAAGGTTCATACTGCTCTAATTTGTTTCTTTGATCTCAAACAACAAATCTTCCCACTCCTTTTCAGCGGTTCACAGAGACATTGGTATTTTCCCATCTGCTTAGGACAGTCTTCCGTTCCTTCCCTGTTTTCTCTTCTTCAGCCTATATCCATGCTCATACATAAGTTGTGCTCATCACTGGTGTATGTGATCATCTCAGAGAAAAATTTGGGGGAGGAAAGTCGTGTATGAAGGATGAATACATGTGAAAAGTCTTCTGTAGTTTAGAAAATGCCAGTGTCATTCTTAGAAAGCTTTAATCACTGCCCATAAGAGCACCTTGCTCAGGTACCCTTATGTTCTTCATTACTGTAGGATATAAGCACCATCAATTCTGTAACATATTCATTTTCACATCATGACATCTAGCAAAGCAGTCCTTAATTTAGGGATGGGGGATTGAGATAGAAATCCTTGGCTAAGAACCACTGATATCCTCTGAGTTCTTAAGCAAATCGTTTAAGCCCAGCCCCGTGCTAGTGACCACTCCCAGGTCTATCCTTCTCCTTTATTCCACAAATATTGTTCAAAACCTCACCTGTTTTCCCACCAGAAAACTCAAACTTAGTTGATCCTAAAGGTATTAAATGAGTCTCATTTTGCACAATATGCCTCAGACACAGAGGTGGACCTCATACCAGGTTTTTTACCATACCGTGGCTGGACACATGCAATCATGTTTAGAAGTTTACCCAAAAATTGGTGATAATTTGAAAAGATAACATTTGAACAACCATCCTTTATTGACATGAGGCTTTGGCTAATTTCCAGAGCTCTTGTAACCACATTTTCTTCATGTCACTGTCAGCCCTCTGTAAAATTCCTATTGTGTGGGCTTTTACTGAGGGCAGAATTATGCACTTTGTCTCCAGATGTTATAATTATCACTGCTCCAAGGCTGGTTACAAATAGAACTTGTTATTTGTTCAGAAAATAAAACTCTGGCAAGCCTAAAAATTTAGATGTTTTGCCAATGCTAGATACTGCACCAGAAGTAAAATATGTATTAAAAAATGGAGTTTCTTCCAGCACAATTTGTTGGGGTTCAAACCTGCTGCTACTTAGATATGAGAGGGGAGTGGGGAACAGGTACTGCAAATCCCAGAGCCCAGAAGTGGGTGACTGCTCAGGAGTGCAGTCCATTATTGCATTAACATTTTAATGTTCTTTGGTGGTAATAGCAGACAAACCTGTGCTGTCACATTCATTTCAGGGTCATGCTAACCATGGAACCTGAATTCCCCAACGGGTCCATTACACTTATGTGTTGTTTCTTACTCTGCCTTTCCAAGCAAAGAAATCCAGGCATGGAAGAAAACTAGATCAAATTCTAGGTTTGCCATTAAAGTAGCACAGACCCAGTTATCTTGTGTCTGAAGAGTCAAGCCTGAGCCTTGATTGCACCTACCAAAGGCAGCGCATAAAGCACTCAGAATTGGGGCTTATGGTGAGGGTCTAATGTAGAAAAGAGCGGGTAAGAGAATGGGAGTATTTGGTATACCTCTCTTGTGGTGCTAACGTCCACAGACAGCCCACTGCTTTGAACCATGAGGCTTCCCAGCACGTTATATTTCAGTGCATAGCTTTGCAAGGGCCGATAACCTTTTTAAAGAAGAGTAAGGACTCATGCTGCATTCATGAGGGCAGAAAACTAATCTGAAAGATCTTTGCAGTGCCTCTGCTACACAGAGATGATGGTGGTAGTAATAAGGCAACACCACGGCAGAAGAAAGATCATGGCTTCTGTGATCAATTTCATCACCACTCAGGGTCAGGTGCCCTAACACATGTTACCACTGGTGACTGCTGATGTTACCTTCAGCTCCCACTGAGATTGTTTATAATGCCCATGCTCAAATCTAAGCCAACCTTATGGCTGCACTTCATGAAAATGGCCCAATATGCACTTCTCTTATGTTTGTCCTGTCAACAAGAGTGTGCAGGTGATTTCATGAAGATGAGTTGGCTGTCAGTACCTTCCTAGATATCACCAGTGACACCTGTCACAAAGGCAGATGGAAAGTGTTGACAGCCTGGGCAAAGGCTGCTTTTAGAATTATCCAATGCCTAAATCTGAGCGGCAGGCAGCCCAGATGTAGAAGAGAGGACAAATGGACCTGAATCAGGGAAGACGCTGACCTTTAGCCTATTATCTGGCCCATCTTCCTATAGGGCAGATGTACCTACGGTGACGCTTAAGAAAGGACCAGATTTTTAGAAGCATTTGGTTTCCAACAAATTCTATGGCGATCTTGCTGACAGATATTCAGAGCAGGTCCACATATACTGTACTTTTGAGTTCTTGAGAAAAGGCAGCCATCGATTTGGACACTGACAGAGAAGCTGAGCTTTCTTGATCGTTTGGTTGTGTCTGCTTACTTCTACAGTTCTTTTTTGAAACTCCCCAAAAAGACCATTGAAACTTTTAAGGTGGAAGGAAGCAGATAACAGGCTAGATTTAGGGGTCAAATTCACCAGGATCATGCCCCTGCAACATAGGGTCATCTTGGCATTGATGCACAACACAGAAGCATTAAGGCCATTTTAAATATGATCAGGTTTGAATGGTAAAGTATCTAGACCACATCCATGTTCCTTTTTTTCACACAAACTAGAAAGTGCGCTGAATGACAGTTGCTTTATTCAAAGCTGTCTTGTGCTGTGTCCTTCACAGATTCCAGCAGCAGGAGTGAGTTAGACTGTGACTTACCTTCAGCCAACGCGCTTCTCCCTGCCACGTGTGCGACACCCATGGCCAGGGCAAAGAAAGTGCAGGCAGCTCACTGCAGGAGACCTACTGACAGCCCAGCTTCTCTCCTGGGTGAGGACATAGCACGTGAACATCTGGAAGGCAAAAGAAAACATGAGGAAGAGGAAGATCACCTATGCGATTTCCCAGTGGACCATCCACTTCATGGTGAGTGCCTCTATATCCAAACTTTCATACAGAGTACCCAAAACCACAGTTGTTATCTTACAATGATGTACATGGCAATACCTAGCAACAGACATCACAGATACTTCTACTGCTAATCTCCTGGCTAAGTCATGGGGATGGTTCTTCACTCTCTCCATCAAAGCCATGGAGACCCACCCTGTGAGCTAAAGATCTAGCTCAGGCCTCCCAACCCTGCCAATTTTAGTGATTTGGGTGTTTATTGCCCTCCTACTTGGGGTGGCAATCTATGGAGTTACCATGTTCAGCAGCCTCATTCCCGGGGTTGTGCAATGCCCGTTTCCTGGTAAATGGGCATTGCACAACGCGGGGAGCGAGGCTGCTGAACATGCCAAATCAGTTTGACGTGTTCTCTACACCTTGGACCCACTGCACAGGTGATGAAGAGGTCACCAGCAGGCGCGCAGGCACACTGTCGATGTGCAATAGGTCTGGTATGCAGGATGTGTCAGCTACAATTTTCAAACCTGGCCATGTTGGTATGTCTTCAAATTTTATTAGTTGTGAGCACTGGGAAACAGCAGTCTATCGCTTAGCCAAAGCAAAGGACCTTACAAATATACTTTGCCAATATGTTGCACAGAGACTTTAAATTAATCAGGATGCATGGTACCTGAACAAGACAAGTTCCTAACAGACAGACTGCAATTTGTTGGTAGTATGTGACAAAAACTGCTTTAAGTTCTTTCAGTTTTAGGAAAGGTTAATACAGATGATCACACTACACTCCAGAAAACAAGCTCTCAGTAGCAGCAGTAAGGTGTTTCCTGCATAGTTTGTTATTATTCACTCCTTTCTGAAGGAAAAAAAAAAAAAGCAATTTCAATTAAGTCCTTTGAAGATTCCTAATGGGCTCACGTGGCTGCAGATGCAGCGTAACTCAGCTGGCTTCACCAAGATCCACACATCTTCCTTTGCCCATAGTCTGCAAGCTGGCAGAGGAAACATTTCTTTCTGTAAAATACATTTGAAAGAAAAGCCTTGTTCCTGCTGCTGCTGCTACGGTATACAAGAGTCTTGTGACAAGCTGCTGTCACCTCCTCCTCCTGCACGAGACAGTATCTGTCTTGATGCAGAGAGAAGCATTGTAAGATAACGGGATATTTTAGCCTGCTTCTGCCCTGTAAGCTGCAAGCAGCTGATGGCAGCTGGGCAATATCACATTGCATCCTCGCAGAAGAGCCAGGGCAGTATGTATCTGGCACTCAGAACTGCCTGTGAGTGCTAAAAAGGAGTATGTTTCATGCGGGAGGGAGTCCCCAGCCACGGGGATCACACCAGAGCTGGGAGGTGGCTTTGCCAGGGTGACAGAGGAAGGAGGCGAGTGTCCCAACTCCCCACTTAGCCTCATTGACCAGCATAGTGTTCAGTACCAGCCTCATCGGCAAAGCAGGAGGGGAAGCATATAATTATCTGCACAAAACTGAGCTGAGCTGAGCTGAACAGGCCCTCTCAATGACAACTTATATTTTAAAGGCATTTTAAACAAAATCCCTCTATTCCCTGGTGGCAGTGGGGTTTTGAAACCAAGCAGAGGTTTAATGATCTGCCATTTTCTAGGCTACTGGTTCCCGCAGTTGCTGAGCCTTTGATAGAAACTGGCTGAAGGAGGGGGGAGGATCCTAAAGCACTGGACTGGCATTTTCCCTGCAGTGCACAAACAATGATGCTTCGGATCCTGTTCACTCACTGTGTCATTCTTAGCAGAGAGCTGGAGGCCTGGGTTTAAAATCCTTTCCAGCATCATAAACTTCAGCCTCCTTCCTCCACTTTATGTTAGAGGGGAAGAGCTGGCATCTCTTTTTCTCCTGCCTCTGGCTGTGGCCGCAGTCACCTTTCTCAGACGAGGTTGGCAGCAGTGCCTGCAGGAGAGGTAGACTGGCACCATCCGTGGCAGCACTCTGTAATGCTTACAGCCGAGCTGATAGCAACTGAAGTTCTGTTTCCACGTCTATCAACTCTGCAGTGCTTCAGACGCGCTTGCAGCATGGTAGCTACGAGCCAGTTACAGGTCCTCTAACAAGGCACCTGGGTGGTGCCAGATGCCCACAGCATATGCCGAGGAGGTGTCCCCAAGACCTCCCTCACACCCACACCCAGGATGCCTACACCAAGCACCCCGGGGAACAGCACCAATCTAAGCGGCAGGAAAGCTTTCTGATGTGGAAGACATCAGAATTCCTTGGCTGGGTGTTCCCTCACCCCTTTCTCACTGACCGCCTCTATCTATATAAAACACCTACATAATTTGTGAGGAAGGACTCAGACTAAGGATACTCATCTGTATAGTTGTCAGGGAGCAGAAGAAATCAAGCGTGCTATGCAATCACCTTGGAGGCGGGAGGGCTGGGGTTTGTCTGGTGCTTTTTTGGATTGGAGGAGAAAGATGATAAGGAAGCCATGACAATATGCCCTTCGTGGGCGTATTGAGATAGCAAGAGCACCCCAACTGTGACCCTGAAGTGTAGATTTGGAGCATATTTCCAGGCAAGCCCATAACTCTGTAGAGTTCCTAAAAACTTGCTTTTCTCACAAAATGGCTTCTGCAACCAAGCGGTTTAGAAATGCAGTGTCATTTAAACTAAACAGATTTATGCCCTTATCACAAACCATTTACAGCAAGCAATGCCTCTTGCACTTTGAACTTAGAGGCTGCATTGTAAGCAAAAAAAAAGAGAAAAGCCCTCGTATGCTAGAGATATGCTGACAATAGCTTTTAATTTTGCTAAGCCCCCATTTGAATTTGGAAGCCTTCGTTCCGAATGTTGGGTGCTTTCACTTGTGGCCTTCTGCATGAGAAGCTCAGCCGAACTGTTTTGGAAAGCCTGGCTCTTGGAAGCAGCAGTGATAAAACCAGTTCTAGAAGGAGACCATTCTGAAAGAGGCCTTACTTTGGAGCTGTGGGCACCGACTCTGCTTGGGCCAGCTCTCTGTGAAAGGATTAATTGCTGCCATTTTGCTACGTGCAACCGCCAAAGAATCCAGGGTCTTCAAAACTTAAGAACACGCAAGGCAAACTCTTGTGGCTGGCTGTCAGCATCACAGCAACATATCCATGGAAACACTAACCTCCCACTTTCCTTTTAATTCTTTCTCTCTGCTCTGTGTGACACCCTTGGGACTTGACCAGTTCACAACAACCAAATACTGGAGCCTGAGAGGATTACATGCCCCTATACCCATCTGACTACAGCAGCTGCTGCTGGAGACTGCCATGTACAGGATCCCAGCCTAGTTCAGATTCTCGTGGGAAATTCTTTTGCAACGTCTTTTACACATGCTGGGTGTGATTGTATGCATTTTTCTGTGTGCGCTGTAACTATTTACATCCAAAGGCAGTGGATGAGTGTGCCTAGCCCTTCACCTGGGCGATGGTTCCAGTCCCCTGCTCCAGCAAGGGAGCAGTCAGTGCCTTGGAGAAGCCAGATAGCAGCATCACCTGAAGACACTGACAGATGCCTGGTCTTGTGGGATTTCTTCTTTAGGCAATAATTCAAGCACAAGGTAGATCAGCCTTCTATAAAGGGAGCTGGCTCCTAATCCCACCAAAACTGGGGGTTTCAGGACATAGGAACAACTGGGCAATGTTGTGGCAATTCCCTGAAGCTCATGTCTCCCTTATTCACTGCAGAAGAGGCTGACATACTGAATCAGCATCATCCAAATATTTCCACAGCAGAAATCCTCTGCACATCGCTGACTGGGAGCTCAAGGATCTTGTTATTAATCTAATAGTTTTATAATTATGATACCAACTTTGATCCCAAAGCATATTGACAAATTCTGGTGGCAATTATCATAAAGACAACAGGAAATATAGAGATGATCTCAGTCTGGAGAACTTCCAGTATAAGTCGTGTACCCTCTGTATTGATGCCAGTTGCAGGCATCTTTAGCTTAGTGTTTATGTTTTCTCTGAAGCTGTAAATTCATTTGTACTGTTCATTTGTAGACAATATGGTCAAACCCATGTACCCCTGTGAAACAGCACGGTTTATCTCTTGCAGAACAGTCTTTTCCCCAATATGCTGACTTATCTCAATGCATTTACAAAACACTCAAGAGACAATAAGGCACTGTATAATCACAATCCCAGATAATTATCGGCTGCCCAGAATATGCCAATGGGACTGAGAGAAAGGGCACAAGCATCCCATTGTCCTGCAAAACAAAAGGAAGAAATTCTAAATGAAAAGGAAAAACAGGAGGAAAAAAAAGATTTTTATATATATATATAATTTTGCTGCCATTAGCTGTCTTACCAGTCTTCTGTTTGTCAGCGTGAATAGTCCCTGCAGCCCTATGTCTCTGAAGTACAGTATTCCTATATAGATTTAGAAATGCAGCACACCATTGACCTTGTTTTGGTGGGTTTACCTGAGGCATAGTTGCAGGCTGGTTCTTTGTTTTTCTCCCTCTTTGAAGACTGACTGTTTATAATCACACCCTCGATATTAAATGAAAGGCATGAAACCCAAATCCTTTACTCCCGCCCTTCAGACTATGTTCACACAGAAGTCTCACTGATACAAGTAAGCACTGAAGAAAGCAAAGCTGACAGCAGTTGGGGGACTATCATAAATTCTGTTTCTGTTGTTTCTTCATTTTTTTATTTTTATTTTTTAAGTAAATGTTAGCATTCAATGCTTTCTTCCAGCAGCCCCTTCTTTCCTGGGAATTTTGGATCCAAAGGGTGCATTACACAGGACCCAGAGGTTAATTCGTTCCTGCTAGTCAAAAATGTGTAATGTGACCACTTGTAAGGTTGATGGCACATCTTCATAAGTTTATTTCAAAGGTCTTCTGAGTACTTATTCGCTTCTCCTAAACTGTCTGAGAACTTTTCATTACATCCACGGGATTTGGTGCTTTTAATTACTGTTCTTTAAAATTGAGGGCAGGCCTTTTACCTACTGTATTAGCAAGTGCTTTATGCCAAAATAAGAAACAGCAGAGACTAC